GGGGAGTTACTGTGATAGAATCCAAAAAATCAAGTCACGACTGCCTGGATTGGGTCTCTCAAACACGAGATGCCCGTCGTAAAGCCGGAGCTGCGGGCCTTCGAGTGCTCCTTCCGATCCCGGGGGTGCCAAGGATTGCCCGCCCGGGCCCACCCCAGATCCCAACCCAGGATGCTCGAGGATCTGCCTCCTCAAACCTGTCCTCCGCCAAACCGAGCTCGTTGAAATCTCCCGGTTCCGACCCTCCGTCATACGCTGCTCTTTCATCCTCAGGTCCCAGACATCTGGCCCCCATGCCTGCGGCCGCAACGAAGCCCTCCAAAAATACTCGGGGCTTTTTGGACCGTCGCAAAAGAGGCGACGGCAATTGTGCCCTGGCCGGAAGCGGAAGTGGGTGACTCTAACGTGTCCGGACTACAGTTCCCAGAACCCTCTGCGAAGCGCGGTCTTATTTTGGATCCCCCGTAGTGATGGAAGTAAGCGCCAAGTTGGAGCCTTGGCAGAAACCTGGCGGAGGGCGGGGGAGCACGGGTATCCCGAAAGGGAACGGCATGTTCTGGCACTCAGCTTTCAGGCACCGCTATACTCTCCTTTCCTTAAAAAAAAAAAAAAATTTCTTAGTACTAACATGTTCATGTTGTAGAAAGTCTGACAATGTTCTCAAATCCATAATCCCTCACAGAGGAGAGGGGAGAGCTCAGTGGTAGAACGTGTACTTAGCATACAATAAGGTCCTGGGTTCAATCCCCAGTACCTCCATTAAATACATAAGTAAGCCTAATTACTTCCTCCAAAACAAACGATAAAAACAAACACAATGCCTCACAGAAGATATAAGGCATTATTGATGTGTTGGTGTAAATTTTATATATGTAAATTTACATTTTATATACATTATAAATTTATAAAATTTACAATTTATATATAAATATATATAAGCTATATAGTATATAAACTACATATATATAGTGGATTCGTATATATAGTGTATTTGTGTATATATTGTATACATTGTATACAGTGGATTTGTATATATATATACACAAATATATATAAAATACAAATACAAATATATATAATAAATGTATATACACAAATATATTATATATATTATTTATTCCAAAAGTAATGCATGGCCAATATTAAGCAAAGTAAGCAAAAGAAGAAAAAGAATGTTAAGCAAGAAAAAAGGGGAGAACATGTAAGAAAAAAAGGACGAAATTGAAGTCCTCTGTAATCCTAGCACTTAAAAACAATGATCAATATCTTGGCCTGTTTACTTCCTGATCTTCTGTGTGAGAAGAATTTTAAATAATATTTAAAATTTTTTCTCCCCAGAAAACTGCTATCATAATATTTTGGAACTATTTTTTTTTCTCCCACTTTATGTCTCATGGGTAGCTTTTTCCATGTTACTAAATAATGAAATCATTTATGTGGTTGCTTAGGATTTTTTAGTTATAGATGCCACAACCTTGTCCGCCAATATAGTTAACGGTTCCAATCTTAGTGTATCAAAACTAGATAATAACTTTCTTGAATTTTTCCCAATTTGATATGCAAAACATACTGTCTCTTTACGGAGATGTTCAATAGGTAATGATATATAAGTGGTGAGTGAATTGCCTATTTATATCCTTTGCCCAGTTTTCAGAACTGATTTGAAATGTTACCATGTCAAATGCTAATTATATAGCTCATGCTCAAATGTGCGTTCTGCAGGCTCTGTTTTCTTCTAGGGGTTATTCCAGCTGTTTGGAAGTTTTAAGTTGTTTCTTTTTTTCTGTTTTGTTTTCCCCATAGGTTTATCCCACTTTCATCTTAACTACATTTCTACTGATTTCTTAATACTCAATTATTTTTCATTCCATTTCCCAGTTTGAGTTCTATCATTCATGTGTCGGTTATATTTTGCTATTGTGATAACAAGAGTTTAAGGTTATGCAAACTCCCAAAGATTTCTGCAAACTATAAAATTTAATATTTCATGTTTAGATCACTGCTTTCCTCTACCCTAACTGAACAGCTTTTAATTGTGGGTTTAAATTCCCTTATAAACCATGATTAAAGAGTAAGAGATTTTATTCTCACAAGTGATAGTTGTAATTAGTTTCTGTTTTAGCTTCTTGACATGTAAAAATTTTATCTGAATGATTTCTGTGTTGTTGTATGTATATATACATATATATGTATGTGTATGTTGCAATTTAAGATTTTGTTTTCTCATTTCTTTTTTTGGTCACAGATAGTAGGTCACAATCCAATCTGCTTATTTGAATTTCCAGAGAAATCAAACGTGTATTTCCAGCCCAACATTCTACTCTTAACCTACTAAATCATGAATCTAGGCTAGGGCTCAGGAAATAGCATCATTTTAGACAGTCCAGGAAAATTTGAAATTAGCTGTTTTGGGAAGCTCTGGTCTGTACATAAGCCCAAACTGTAAATGAGCCATATGTATTTCAATATAAGGTATCACCTGCTGAAGCTCTACCATTTTATCCATTATGTTATTGTATGAAGACGACTCAATATGTGGGTCAGTTCCTATGTGTATTTAATTTTTCTACTGAATGCAAGAGGTGTGGTTCCCCCATTTCCTCTGTATCACTAGCCATCCATGACTTTTTTTTATCATATTTATATAAGCATGATGGTTGGTACTTTTTTAAAGTAAACATTGATTTCCTTTTCCTATTTAGTGCTCTTGACTTGAAATTTTTTTGGTTGGGGCTGCCTATTGATTGACTGATTGATTGATTTAACCAGCTTTATTGAGATATAATTGACAACATTGTGTAAATTTAAGGTATAAAACATGATAATTTGGTATAT